TTCATGGCCGGGCCGGGAGACTTTCGGGCTGGGGTAGGGTGCTCCCCTCGCCCACCAGCCCTTCCTAGGCCCCTCCATTTCTTCCAGGCGCAGAGAAAAAGCCCGGGGTCCTTGGGCAGGAACGAGCCTCTCCTTGTGCGTGGGGCCATGTGGATGGGAGTGGATGTGGAGGGCGCGGGTGGCGCCTTGAGACTGTCCCCGGGAGCTCACTGATTGATTGGGGGTTAGCCTGACAGACGTATCCTTCCGGTCCTTTTCCGGCGTCTGGCCGCCTCTTTTCCTTGTCCAGATCCAGCGCCCTCCAGGCAAGCCAAAGCCAGGAGGCCAGATCCCCACGGAGGCGAGGGGCCCAGCCAGGTGTCTCCGTCTCCAGGTTTCTAGGACTCCCGCAAGGTGACTGGGTGTGTGTTGGGGGAGGGGGGAGTTAGGGGTGTCACTCAAATCTCACAGGCCGGCTGTCTTTGCGTTCTGCTTTGATCTCCTCGCAGCTGGCCTTCACCACCCCTTCGGCTCCTGAGCCCTGACTCTGACGTGTGGCACCTGTTCCTGGTCCTCCGTCCCCGAGACCCTTCTAGCCCAGGTGGGGTCAGACCCCTTGTGGTTCAGGAGCTAGGCGCTAGGCAAGAGCAGGCCAGCGGGCCTAGGCCCTGTATCCTGTTGTCTGGAGTCAGTCCTTGCCCCTGCATTGCGTCCCCAGAGGTAGAAGCCTGGCCGGCCCCCTGCACCCGCTCACACAGCACACTGTACAGCAGCTCTTTCTCGAAACCATAATTTTACTGTCAAAGAAACTTTATAACTTATTTACAAAGTTCTTTCCCCTCCCCCCCCAAGATACAAAGCAATAAGTTAACATTCTCAATATAAAACTAAACTTTGACATAGAGAACACAAAACATGGTTGATTTCAACTGATCACATTTTCCAAATTTCACAAGTAAAATGTCAAGATTCTCATTTCACAAAGCATCGGGTTTTACAGCCACACACAACGGAACAGAAAAAAAAAAAGCTAAGCTTGTGCAACATGTTTACAGAACAATAATAATAACAATAATAATTAATAACAACAATAATATGTACAGCGATTAGATCCTGCACTGGAGGCTGTGCGTTCAGGTGGTGACTGGCATCATTCTGGCTGCGCCTCTGGGGGTTGTGGTAAAGCTGCGTTTGCTTGCTTTTAAGCCCACTGGCATTGGGGTGCTCACTCACACCCGCCGCTTTTCTCACCGCTGCCCGTGGGTCCTCTCTCTCTCTTTCTCCCTAAGGAGAGAATTCAGATTTTCCTACTTGTCCAGGCAAGGAGACTAAGCGTTCTTCTCCAAATGAGAAATTGTGTTGGCTTCATTTCTTTCTTTTTAAAAACATGTAAAATATGCAAATCATTCGACTCCAACCGCTCTAGACCAGTGAAGTACAAAAGTTACTGTATCAGTTAAAAATCACCAGGCCCTCCTTATCCTTTTTTTTTTCCGGGTACATTTGAAGTGACCTGTATACTTGGACAGTGCGCTCCTCCTGTCCCATAGAATTGCGTACTGGCCAACACTCAGCCTCAGGTGAAGTCCATTTCTCAATAAATAAGCCCCCTCCCTCCAATTCCCCCCAATTCCCCAATGAGCTACACAGATGTTAGGGCAGGCCCAGGAAAAGGTCTGAAAGGGTAAAACATCCAAGTATCCGGAACTAGGTGGCCTGGTGGACAGGGCCTCCCGGGACCTGGTGAGGTTTTTCAGAGGCTGCAGAATGAGGACGGCGGACAGAGGAGGACCTCGACTTGTCAGGGCACAGATATGGAGCGAAAGGAGACAAGAGACGGACAGGACAGAAAATAGCTTTTGCTTTTTCTACATTGCTTTTGTTTTGTTTTGTGTTTTTTTTTTTTTCCTGATAGTCCCACACAATGAGGGTCCCCGGGTTGGTGGGGTCCAACAGGCTATCTTGCTGCTCCAGCTGTCTCCTGCGGCTATGACTGAGCTCCAAGGCCTCTCTCTCTGCTGCCCGCGGCCCAGGCCAGGGTTCAGGCAAGGGTGTGGACGCCAGGGAAGTAGCCAGTCCAGACAGCAAGGGGCTCTGAGGAGGCGGTGGGCGTCCTGCCTCCCGGTTCCTTCTTCTTTCCCTCTGAGTCCTTCTCCGGGTCCAGGGCACACAAATGGGGTGGATGGACCGGGAGGCAGGAGGGGCCCCAGACCAGGGGAAATGGGAAGGAGGTGGGCAGAACGGGTGGGCAACCTCACATGAGTTGGGGTTGCTGCATAGCTTCTTGGTGCGCCGAGGGGTACCATGATGTGTAGCTGGGGATGTAGGAGCCCGTGCTGCTGCCCGAGCCCTTTCCGGATGAGGAGTTGGGGTTCCAGCCAGGTGGCACTGGCGGGGAGCCGGCAGAGAGCGCCCGGCCGTTGGCTAGCGCGCTCCCCTCCAGAGCCGCCCCGCCCTGCTTCATCAGCTTCTTGAACTTGGAGCGCTTGTTCTGGAACCAGATCTTGACCTGCAAGAGCGGACAGCAGCATGACTCAGGCTAGGTCCATTGTGCCTATCATGGTCCTGGGGAGATAAGGTGACAGTGGGACAGCGAGAGAGGATGTCCCTTACCGCCCTGGGAGAAGGGACAACTCGCAGCTGGGGGAACAGACCACCACCACCACCAATAAGAACCTGGCGGCAGGGGCAGCTCTCCTAGAGCCAGGGGGCGTGGTGGTAAGGGGTGAGAGGGGATCTAGGCCTTCTCCTGCCAGGGACTCAGCCCAACCTTGGCTGGCAATCCTCTGGGGAAGACGCAGGGCCTGCACAATATAGAGCCTTCAATTCCAGGATGAGCATCAATAAAAGAATCGAGTGGAGAAAAGGAGTGGAGGACACTTATTTGCAATGCCTTCTCTTCGCCATCCTTTCTGCCCTTGAGTGAGTTGGAGACTGACCAAGGAAGCCACAAGGTTTTGTTAAACTTTTCATTTGGACTTAAGTAAACCTTTTCTTAATGTCTGTTTGTCTCTCCAGCTCTGCTTCAAATCCCGGCCCCAACGTTGGAAACCCGCGACATTCGTCATCAAAACGCCCATGGGCTCCCCGGACTCTCAGAGAAATTGGGAAGGAAGGTCCGTTTCTCCTCCGGGGTCTGGGACTTGGGTGGTGTGAGAAGTCAAAAGAAGGGGTCCCCCCCACCCCCAAGAAGGAGGAGAAGAGGGAGGAGAAGGAGAAGGAAAAGGAAGGAGGAGGGAGACACAGGCTCAGGCCAGGCCCCAAGTGATTAGCCACACACTTTAAAGGCAAAGAAGGGATTAAGCCCCGAGTCTATTGTTCCAGTTGCTCGGGCACGTGTGACTTCAGAATCCCCCAACAAAACGTCCGGGAAATCCTCCCTGGGCCCTAATCAGATCGTCCAGGGTTGCAGGTCCGGGAGGCAAGCAGCGCGAAGTACGGAGTGCGGAGTGCAGGGAGAGCCAGGGCAGAGAGAAAGAGGGAGGAAGGGGAAACGCTGGGAGGGCCAGGGGTGGCGGACACACACACACACACACACACACACACACACAAACATTAGAACATTGATAAACAAATATTGCTATTGCTATTATGTTTTTCTACTTAGAACCTGGTAAAAATGAAGCTCCCGGCGCAGGCGGGCCGCGGAACCCTGCGGGCCGGTCGGGCAGCAGCGAAGTACCTGCGTCTGCGTGAGTCCCAAGGAGGCCGCGAGCTCCGCCCTCTCGGGCAGAGCTAGGTACTGAGTTTGCTGGAACCTCCGGTTCAAAGCCTGCAACTGCAAACTGGAGTAAATGGTCCTGGGTTTGCGAATCTTTTTCCCCTTGCCATTGAAGCGCACCTCACCGCCTTCCACCACGGTGCTCTTCTCCGAGTCGGCCCCTGGAAGGACAGCAGAAGCAGGGGCCTTGTTAATGCGAGGGACAGCCTTCCGTGTGGGGAGCCAGGGGCGAGCGGCTCCCGAGCGGGGTGGCGGAGCCAGGACCCGGAGAGAGAATGCTCCAGAAACTCCAAAAACCAGGGGAAGGTCCCGCAAAATCAGAGGGCCGGACCCGGACGGCTGCAGGCGCACCGGGACAGTTCCCAGGCGCGCAGCTCCTGCCTTTGCAGGGAAAGTTTGCTGTTTTTGCAGGCGGTAGTTGAAGTTTAATTACCCTTAATTGCACACATTGTTTATAGCGCTACGCAATAAATAATTACCGAGACTAATACGTGCACATGTGGGTTTCTGTTTTCCAGCGGGGCATTGTGTGCTCGACGCACGGAGCCACCCAGAGGCCCAGCTAGTGCAGGGGACGCTCTCAGATTTATTTATCCTCTGCCGGATAGTTGTTAGTTAGGTGGATTTTTTAAAAAAATTTTTTCTTTGCTATGACAAGGATCCATAGATTGATACCCGAAACCTCCACGGCTCCGGCGCTCTCCCCACCCCCACCCCACCTCTCTCTCAACCTCTCCCTCCTCTCTCTTTCTCTCTCTCTCCCTCCCTCCCTCCCTCCCCTCCCTCTCTCCCTTCATACCTCTTAGTCTCCCTCTCCCGGGCAGGCGCACGTACCTGGATCCTCCAGGCGGCTCTGGGCGAGGCTGGCGCTGCCTGGGTAGGACTGCACGGAACTGATGTAGGGGCTGGACGCGTGGCTGCTGACCGAGTTGACGTAGGGGTAGCCCAGCGGTCGGGAGAAAGACGAGGCCGAGCTGTAGGCGCCGTCGGGCTGCGAATGGCCCGCCGAGTGTAAACAGTGCATGGAGTAGTGCCCGTGGGACATGGGAGAAGGAGACATTTGCTGGTTGGGCGGCCCAAACTCCATAAACACCGCCTTGCCCGACACGGGGCTGTTGAGACTTTCTGGCATGGTGGTCATGGTCATCTCTTCTCGCGGGGCCTGGGTGTGGGTCTCTCTCTCTCTCTCCTCTGCTTTCCTTTTGGGGGTCTCTGTGTTTCTCAGGACAGGAAGGAACCCAATTTAAGCAGAACAGGGGTTTTCACTTTCCATTCATAAGAAAATGGAGTTTGTCTCTTTGAAAAGTCTAAGCATGATGCTGCTGAGCTCCCCAAACTCGCTTCAAAGCTTTGACTCAGCCAAGGTCATAAATATTCATGAGCCGGCGGAGCTGATTGGTCCGTTGCCTTGCATAATCACCGGGGATTGGTCCGAGGCGCTCCGGCTCCGCTGGACTAGAGCGGGCGAGGCGGCCGAGTCTCGGGAGAGACGCGTCCACAGTTCCCGGCCGGGGCTCGCTCCTCTGCAAAAGAGC